AATGAAAACAATCCTTGCAGTAAAGACACATTTGGTTTTTTTCAGTGCTAAACTGCACTCAAAGTCTTATTCTCATGATCAACCTACTGAGCTGACTGAGGATGTAGTCACATTAAGAAACTAATTTTGTCCATATCCATTGTATCTACTTTATCTTTCGTTACCTCATTCACACAATCACACACATGCACTGCACTAGTGCACACCAACAATGTTTTTTTTAGTGTAGAAAATTATATTATAGACTATTTTACACAGTATTTTTTTGTCATCAAACAATACCATCAAACAGCATATCAATTCAATCAACAATAAATTTCCTTTTATAGCAACATTGTTTCAGATCAATGTCTACTTTCCTCTTTCAGGCCATGCTAAAAGAGACAAGACCCCTCTCCTGTGTTTTCTCCACAGGTGCTGTGTTTGGTTACATGACACAGGCACATAAAGAGAAGTAAAAGACAGATAAGCGAGGAGGAGTGGGCTGTCCGACAGCTGCCTGCCTTGTTGGGTAACACTCCAACGGGACCCCCCATGAGGAGCCCAGCCTGAAGCAACGTCTGCACTCCAGTCGGGAAGGAAGACTTCAAACACAAATCCTGTGCATCCTCCAGCCTTTTGCTCCCTCTCCTGCTGTTTGCCTGAGCTCCACAGGGGATCTCTGAAGACCATCCCAGCAGTCACCACACCATGAATCAGCGCCATCTATCTTTTCATTGTCACTTTTGCTTTTCTTTAGACAATTACAGTCAATCAAATAAAATGTAGGAAAGCAGGAAAGTATAGAACTTTAATATATTGGTGACTTTATTTTTACTACGATTCTATCTTTGAAACAGGAAAAAAAACTATTATTAAAAACTGCAGGGAGGACTGGCTATCAGTACAACACTGCAAATCATTATTAAATCAGTAAAGCATCATTAAAAATACTGAAAGGAACCAATATTCAAAACAAGATTTTTTGGGGGGGGGATAAATGTCAGCCTGATGAAATGGTAGTAAAACAAAGAAAGGGAAATGGACACCTGGAAAACCTGACACAGTTTACAAGGACTATATGCTGTAAATAATCCACAACAGTAGCCCTCATTCCCTGAAAAATATGCCTGACCCTGTGTCTAGCACATAGAGCTTCGCTTAGAATTTTGCCGCAGGCTAAGCAAACCTTTGAAAAACAAGCAGAATCTAGGGGCAGACAACAGCCACCCTGTCATCTTTGATTTTGGCCTGCTCATGTTGGACTAGTAACACCTCACACTCTGCTTGGAAGGGTTTAACCCCCACTGGTGCCCCTGTGCTGCCACAGATGGACTGCTGACCAGTTACTGCAGCTTTAGAGAACAAGCACAGACAAATCCATCTATAAAAAAGTATGTAACAAGACAGCAAATCTTTAAGCCCTCTTAACAAGGCATGACCTTCAAATAAGCAGCTCCATATAGGAGCTCACAAGCAGCAGCCTCAACTATTACTGTTCAGCAAAATAATTCATGGTGAAAGTGTAATGTTTGCTACTCATGTATGTTTACTATTCACTTCAAATCACATAAACTACAGACAAGTCCAAAAGCAGTATGGAGTGAAAAACATCTTGGGCTTGTGGTGAACATCACACGGTGTAGCAGCCTCCAGACACACATATGTCTGGCAGATGGCACTGAATGGATGGCACATGGGTCAGAAGGAGCACTCAGCTGTATATTTCTAACAAATACAGGCCTGCCAGGAATGTCTGCACAAGGCCCAAGATTATTACACCTCCGCTCCGTACTGTGTTTCTGTGCAGGAGCTTTGCTGGTGTTTGTGCTTTTGATAGAGAGCAAAAAGTCACTGTAAAAACCAGCCTTAAAAATTTCTGCTCTCAATCATTTCTGTTGCCCATCCAAAATAGGGCTGTGTGGAATTACAGTAAGAACTGACTATTTTTATGACTATTGTGAGTTTATAAAAAAAAGCATATTTAAGAATATTCAGCTGGAAATAAAATGTTTAAACAAGACCTGATCTTCTAGAAGGAGGACAAACCAAATGGCAAAGATGAACTATGTATGCAGGTTCTAGCCAAAGAAAAACTATAACTGCTAAGGTAAATCAGTACCACGGCCAGTTCATCCTTGATGCAAGAGAACCCCCAAAATGGTAAATCTGCTGATAAATGTTTGACATGTGTTATGTAAGTTCATTTAAAATTATTTTATAGAATGGTCCAAAATATTATATTGTAGTTGGATAAGTAACAACAACAAAACAAGCAATAAAAAACAAACAAAAAAAAACCCCAGAAATAATGAGTACATGTACAATGAAGTACTGTACATCCAATAATACAGAGGTGCTCAGCGACCTAGTACACCTTCCAAACAAATGTGTTAGCTTGGAGAGTGGGGAATCTCAACTGATTCAATTAATCTGAAAATGGTCTATTGTACATGTGTAAAGATTGCATTTCAAAAAGTCTTTGTATTTGTGTATTGTCTTATTTTACTCACTGCATATGTTTCTATATGTCATTTCTGCAGCTTCTCAACAGAGGAAATCTTTGGTCAAGGATCCATGTAACTTACACGGTGCAACTTCTGGCAGCTAATTTCATTTCCATGTAAATCTAACAGTTAGACTTTGAGTTTTAATGAATTTAAAGTATGTCTCTGAGGATTGTTTGCTGTAAGCTGGTGTTTACTATTATTTCTTGAGAACTGTAACTAATAACAATACAACAATACTTTGATTGACAAAAGACAATAAAAATGTTTCCAGGCAAGTGTTCTCTTTCAACAAGTCAGTGTTTTACAGCTGGTTAAAAAAACAGTTTGAGTTCCTTGTTGGTAAAAAATGTTGCACAAATAAACAGTTCAAATTTATGAACACATAAATGGCAGCACCTGACATCTGACAAATGGCCATCCATTTTTGGTTTAAAGTTTCATAAAATTGCCAAGTTAATGGTCTGAAATAAAACATGGAGCTGAAGCCATTCAAAGAAATTAGAAACACATTCAAACAGTCATCTTCAAATGACAGAAAAGCAATCTCTTGTATTTATTGTCTGCAAACACCAAAGAGAAACAAGGCTGTAAGTCAAAGAGGGAAAGGGGAAAGTTTTTAGCCATAATAAATAATTCCAGATCTTCTTAAATTTTATTGAAGTGTTGCTTTTCATCAAGACGCAACTGTCGTTTCCCCAGCTATACAACCACCACTGCTTCATCACATCTTTGTATCCGATACAGTAACACAGGAAGAGTGTTTGGAGTGTATTTCCGTTGGCTGTAGATCTTTATCAGATCCTCTGGTCTACATGATATAAGCAACCAAGAGAATGCAGATAAGGAAGCAGAGAATTTTCCAAGGGAGTGATGTGAAACAGACTGGACACACTGGTCTCTGTGCTCACTCTGTGTGTATAGCAACAACACAGGCCCCACAAAAAGGATTATCACTTCCTGGTTGACATATCCTCTGTGTAATGCCCACACAATTGAAATGTCTAATCATACAGATAAAATGCTCAGGTGTGTGTGTGTTACTGTCTCGTGCCAAAGCAAACACGTGTTAAAAGAAACACGTGGAGCTCTGCTGAGCTCGGATGCATGACGATGATCGATGTGAATGGATAAAAACTGACAGCAGAGATCCAGCAGCACACAGGGGAACATTTCTATTGATTTACAGGTAAGTCTCTGTCCTAATTAAGCTTCAACAAATTCTCATTCCCACAGCAGCCCACTTTCTCTTCCACATAACTCTAAGCAAATGTGCGATGCCTCAGGGTTTACATTGGGTGACCCCTCATTGTTAGACACTTCCTCTCTGGTTATACCCCTCACTGTACTAAAATGAGAAAAATAAACGACTCCAACAGTCGGTCATGCCCCAGTGATCCTGGCAACAACAGGTCGAGAGGACGCCGATCTTCATGGCCTACATTGGCTTGGCTCTGTGAGCGGTTGCGGCAGTAGCCCCCTGTCAGCTGTCCCATTCAGGGCCAGTCCTGCCGTTATTAAAGCTTTGAAGGGTGCTCAACAAAGAGGCGTCCCATGTTTAGATGACAGAATGTAAGCAACTGCTTTTCTGCTTGGGCAACACAAGACAAAGAGCTTTCTTCTGAATATGAGGAAAACTCGCGAGACAGTGAGTGTGAAAACTAGTGAGGCGAGGAAGAGAAATGGTTACTCCATCAGATTTTAGTGTTGGGATTACATTGTAACTGGTGTGTAATTATGTAGCACTTTTGTAGTCCTATAAGCTAGCAAGGAATCAAACCCACAACCCCCCTGGCGGTAAGACAACAACACATTCTACTGAGCTACAGCCATCTCCTTATATGAGTTGTAAATCGTGATGAGGTTGAGCACAAGGAAAGAGAACTATCCGAAGAAAATGCTGTGAGTATTATCACAGGTGGTTTCCATAAGCTGCTGATTAATATTTAGGTCAAAATGCCATCTGTGTTAATTAGAATGGAGGCTGGAGGTCGATGTCTCCTAACAATATGACCTATATACTAAACTGTATACACTATGCTTCACTTGAGTGACCACGGAGAAGAACATCCTAATGGGAAGAGAAGCTGTGATTACATTGGATGATCAGTCTCCATATCTCCATATACAGTAGTTTAATATAGAGAAGAAATAGCATAGTACATAAAAACTTTTTTACTTTTAGTTATTCCAAACATTTGAGTAATTTGTGGTTATTACTAAATTAAAACACAATAATTCAAAATTTAGAACATTTTATTTTAACTTGTTTTTGTGCTTCCTGCCAGCGCACAAACAGCACTAAACTAACCCTGGGTAACATTCTGAAATACATTTTGTGTGTTTATTAAATACTTAAGTTTATTTGAAGAGTCATTTACAGTATTCTATTTTTTTTTTACTGTATTTTAAAAAAGTAAATTGTGGTTTTTAAATATGTTTGTTGGTGGAAACCATAGTTCCATGCTTTGTTTTGTTTTTTAAATCATTCACAACATCTGTACTCCGACATACCTGGTCATGGCTGGCTTGGAGGGTGCTCCCAGTGCCATGGAAAGTCATTTGCACAGGGGAGAGGGTCAGATAGGTCACATAATCCTTGCCACTTTGTGCATCACTGTACTGCACCTGGAAAAGATGGCAGAGATCAACCAATTTATCCCAGCCCAAAGTGTGTAGAAACACTAGCAGATAGAGACTGTACATACTGTACTAGTTTTGGAAAGTAAATCTTGCATGTCTAATGGTTATCTGAGCTTTATGCCATGAATGATGGCAGCTAAGGGTAAAAATGTTAGGGTGTGTATGTGCATTTTTGACTAAGAGCATCTGGAGAGAGTAATGGTGACATCACTGGAGACCCCTCATCATTAAGAGGTTAACTACACAGGCATTCCTAAATGCTGTGCAAATAAGGCCGATATGACATGATGTTCCTGTGGGACAGTCGACTTTGCCTCAACATATTTTTTGGGTAGTACAGACTATCTTCTCTGCTCTACTTCTCACTGTCTCTCACTTTGTGCTGATGCATGAGTTTGCATGTGTATATGTCCATTTGTGTGCATGTGGTCATCTGGCCTACATATGCCAAGGACATCTGCAGGCACCCTCAAAATGGAACAGATAACAAAGAACTGAAGAAAGCAATAGCCTGATAAAGTGTTGAAGCATTTCAGCAAATAAATCATCAAGTTGGCACAACAAAAAATTGTGAATTAAACAGTACAAACTCAAATATGTGGTTCATGTACGTGTCTACATTTAAACTAATCTCAGCTGCAGTGTTTTGGCCGTGCTGGCAGGCACCATGTGCATGCACACGCACACATATATGATCTGTGACCGAAGGTTTCCAGAGAGAGGTGTGCGAGTCTCTCAAAATGAGTTATGATCGCATGAGGATGAGTGTGTGATCAAGTGTGTGGCTGTGTGTGCTCCAGCCGACCAGACACATGGACGTCTGCCCTTAAAGACACGCAGCCATCAGAAGCTACACAGCCACACGTTAATATAATTAACGCGTGTGCACTGAGATATGAACTATGTGGCTGTGTTGAATATGGGATATAGATAGCCAGACCAGTGCACGTGAATGGACACCTGCTGGTGAGATAGGCTCACTGATAAATTGAGGAACGCCATGTGTTATGAGTATGAATGATTAATGTGTAAGGTGAGCTGTGGAAAAGCCTTCCCTGACAAATCTCTAGTAGATTTTTAAGTGTGAAAAAAAAGTGTGTAAAAAGCTGTTCATCACATTGAGGTACTGTTTGTTTTGTGTTTGCTGGTAAGGGTACGCAAAAGTGTTCTTTAGTCCACAATAACAACCAGATACCAGAATTGTTTGTAATGACAGAATAACATTAATCAATCGTAAAGTTAATTTTAGCACAGTCACATTTTGAACTACATTGACAAGTGCAATAAACATTTTATCTCATCTTCATTTGAATCATTTAGTGAAATCTATATTTTCAGAAATTTTGAAAACTGTATTCTCCCATCAAGCTAGTCTGCTTTTCGAGTGTGTTTGTATGCATCGTCGAGTGCATGCATTCTAAACAAGCCTAACTAATCGTCCGAGGTCCCAACTCAGAAAACAGCCTCTAATCCACTTCCTTTAAGGACAAAGAGGAAGGAGAGTTATGCAAGGCCTGCGATTGATCGGCGACACTAATGTGGAACGACCTCTGACATCTGGCTTCCAAAGCTGGATGGCTCCTCTTCCAATGCACCTCGTTATTTCAAACAAACAAGACCATGCACATACTAAAAAGGAATCACAGTCAGGAGGAGCTCCAGAGGGTGTGAAGGCGATGCTGAAATTTTACAGAGTAGGCATATAATTTGTAATTTTACCTAGTTTCTGCAATTACATTCACTGCACACAGACTGGTATGCAGCCAAAGTAACTGCATATTATGTGTTGTATATGATTTGTCTGCGGCGCGGTGTAAAGTGCAACAGTTTCAGAAATAAATAGGAAAAATTAAAATAAGTTGGTAAAGTTACATGTTGTGGTAAATCTCTCATTTCAATAGTTCATCGTCCATGCTTGAAGGACAACAAATGGTACCCTTGGTAAAAACACAGAGAGTATTTGGCCCATCTACTGTGTTATGTAAAAATGGACAAATCCAACGTGGCTGTATTAAAAAAGGAAAGCTAATTTGTGGGGAATAAAAATAATAATTTACATATTTGGTGTGTTTACGTTCATGGGCGCATCAATAAAGTAATCTTCCAATAGAAATACATAAATAAAAAAAAACTTTATTTCAATTACACACAGTACCTCAGCATTTTTTTATTGTCATTGTTTTTCCTGGCCTGACATTTAGCCAATGTCTGGGGGAAACAAGATAAGATCCAGTCTGGTCGCAAGAGAGGCGTTCAGCACATGTTAGTTGAATATAGTTGTCTGCGTCAACTCAGACCATTACTAAAGATCCATTTTTAATACCATCTGTGGACCATTAACAGCATCACTGACTGAAAGTGGGGCCAAAAATAATCCTGGTGATGGGAAATAAAATAATTGAACAATTTCTAACAATAGCATCACAAACCAACAATTGGTCTACACAGCCAAAACAAATCAGGACTCTGCAATCTTTAAATGAACTTACTTGCTGGAGAAGAGTCTTTTTTACAGCACTAATTGGTGTGCAAATAATGAAGCAGCCAATTGAAAAAACTCACAGCTTAACACGCCCTCCACTTATACCGTCTAAAAATGTGCTGCTACACTTATACAGTCTCTGCAAATTGTTGGGAATGAAGAATGAGTTATGATTAACAGTATCAACAGACACAGAAGAACAACAGCAAGTGAGCAAACAATTATGCTGCATGTTCAAATTTACAAAACGCTGTGCTGGCTCTTGTGGATACATTATTTATAGGTTCTACAAATGGGCTTCATTGAGTAAAATCATCATCACTCAGTTTTGCCAAGCACACAGACACAGGCATGTGAGCCAAACAGCACACTGAAGGCCACCATGTAAGCAGGGAGACACTGCACTGAGCCAGCCCGGCATTAACAGTCTGATTTATAACACAGACAAAACTTGTTTTCCAAGATTGCTCTTCACACAAATATTCTGCAGAGCGCAGCTGGAAGTCATTACCCGTGCCGCAGAAATCAAAGGTGAAGGGATTAGCCATCCCAAAATGTATTTTCTAACGCAAATCTCAGAGTAAACACAGCACGGAGGAATGAGATGATGACAAGTAGGTTGGAAACAAACTGCTGGAGTCTTTGAACGTTCCTACTAGATTGTGTGTTTGATGTTGATACAGGGAGATGAGACTTAGTAATGGAGATCAAGAAGGGAGGAGAGAAACAAGGAAACAGAGGGTATACAGAGCCAGGCAGTGCATGAGGCTTAGTCGGAACTATCTGAAGTGGTTCTTCTATTCAGCCAAAGAAGGAAGCTAAGAAAGACAAGAACAAACACTGCATAAGTGTGAGAAATCCCGGGAACTGTACTGAAAGGATAAAAACCCCAGCCACTTTTCAAGGAGAGTGTTTTCATTATAGTGGGATTTCCAACATAGACGTACTGATTCCAGCACAGCCCTCCCTTTCTTCAAAATCCATCTGCCAGGTTCAGCCCATCACAGCCAGACTACATAACTCTGCTGATTGCTATCTCTGCTGTGTTATTGCTTTTGGATTGAACAGGTGGACAGATCTCACAGATACAGTAGATACTATTCAGCTTTTCCAGACAACTCGGAATGTTATGATATAGTGCAGTATCATCTTTGATCGCCATGCGTGGAAGAGGATATTAACACTTTATAACAGGTGGCCATTGTCAGATTTTTAGATTTGATACATGCAGTCATGTAAGTTATCATGGCTGTTATTTATGTCCAGGCCAACCCACACAGTTAATCAGAACAACTATAAATCCATGCTTTGTGTTAAAACTCTAAATGCCGACAAAATCTCTGCGACAAGACACAAAAGTACATAAAAAGTCAGAATTATTATATTATAAAGCAAAGCAAAAATGCTAACACTGACATAAACTGATGTATAAATAAGTAAAATTAATATGAAATGTAACATTACTCGTAGTTTTCAACAAAAGTCATAGTTAATAAGCATTCACAGGTATGAGAGGAAGCAAAAAAAAAAAGAAGATTTTTAATTACAGTTCCGTCAATCAGTGATCTTTTATATAACAATTTGGCTGACTGCTACCACTGGGAAATTGAGTGGTAGAAGCAGTCTTTAATGACTACAATAATATTTGCGATGGCAGAATAAAGAGGCAGCTGGCGATAATAGTGCTGGGGTCAGAACCTCTTCAGAAGCAGATGAAAGAGAGAGCTGCCCCTAGACAAATGCATGGCGTTTCTTAAAATAAATATTTTTTTTATATTTTATAGCAAGAGCACAGTGGTTTACAAAGACAATTAGAAAGGGGGAGCTCCTAAAGCCCTATCATTGGCCCATGTGTTGTCTATTACCTCCTTCTTCTTTGTTTCTACCCTACTTCTAGCAAACATACCAGTAGTGCCAACAACACAGCAGCAAAATTAATAGGAAATACACACACAAACACACTGGGGTAGGTGCCAACATCTCTGCTACAAGCTGGCGTGAGTTCAAGACACTGTTGCTTATCCTGTCAGAGCTTCTACCACAGGCTATTTTCCAATCAAATCAAAAGAAAGATTTAGCAGGTAGGTCCGGGTCTTTGTCTGAGGAACTGCATGGATGAAACAGACACTATGAGAATGTCCTCAGTTGAGTAGTCTTTGTTACCTGCTTAGTTGTACAACAATTACATTAGAAAGTTACTCATCAGACTAGGAGGTTATTAAGTTACTGAAAAATTGTATACGTGTGGTCAAGAGAAAACTGACTTACCCGATACCTGCAGCACATTGCGTATCTGGTGCAAATTTGTCATGGCTTATCCGACAGAACTACACGGAATACATGAGTCTTAGCGGATTTGTCTAACATTGTTTTGTGGACAAATGGGTTCTGATTACAAACCAAGATGATTTGAAACATCCCTTTAACATCTCTTTAAATATTCTCATCATGTCTCTATTCCAATCCAAATCCTCACTTCAATAACATGACTGCACGGAAACAGAATCACTACAGATTACACTGTGTTTTTACTCAAATGCTTGCAAGGGTACAAGGACACACTTACACAGCATATTTATGATTTTTACATTATAAACACAGGGACAAACGTCACACAGAGGCTTAGTCCAAATCTCATCTTTCCCTGAACAGAACCTGCTGTGTGTTCACAGACGTGTGTGTTTCTGTGTGTGTATGTGTATGTTTGGGCTTGGCCTGGCAGCACAGCTTTCTCAGGTTACCCACACACAGGAAGGCTCAGAGCAATAACAAAGGCTTTTCAAGGGAACCCTCAGCAGGTTAAGATAAAATATTTTTCCACTCAAACTGATAAAAAGCATCTGCGGTTTAGGTGTCGGCCGACTGGTATTAGCAGCTTGGTTTGCAACACAGATCGGACATAAAAACACTGAAAAACTGAAACTCTGTCAATTCTACGGAGGGAGAGCGCAGTTATCTGTCAATTCTACGGAGGGAGAGCGCATGTGCCCGACCCAGTTAGAACAGCAGCAACTTTGACGTTAAGTCCCACCTCTAAATCAGTTCCAGTGTCTTCATTAGGAATTATTCGCAGGAAGGAGGGGGACATTTTATTTCTCCTTTTCTCAACAAATTGAAAAGAATACAGCCAAGGGAAATGTGTGTCATTTACCATGACTGTATTCTCACTAAACAGTTGTGGAATCCACATATAAAACACAGATTTGAATCCTTAATCAACAGACTCTTTATTAGCAGCATGTTATATCTCACCTGGAAGCCCTGGATGCGAGCCAGGTAGTCCAACTGCTGTGCAGGCTGCACTGACACACCACAGGCCAGAGGTGGACTCTTCCCTTTTACCGGTAGGGAGGTCTCAGATGAAACTGATTGGCCATTAATCAGCAGCTCTCTGGCTCCTGTGGCAGTTGGGCTGGTTGAGGAGGGTGAGCCGCTGTAGTATTGAGTGTGTCCTGGGGGCAGAGGGGCAGAGCAGGGTCCCATGTCTTTGGGTGCAGTGTAGTTGGCCGAGTTGGCACTGCTGCCTCCAGGACCTGAAACACTTCCTCCTTGCTTCCTGCTGGCTTCCATCTCCTGGTAGACATCAGGGCTGAGGTGGAGCAAACCCTTCTGGGCTGGATGGGTTGACAGAAACACAATGGAGAAAATAAGAAGGAAAATCTAAATTGAAAGAAAGACAAATTGGAAGATTTCTGGAGATTATTTTCCCTTCATAGGAGGATTAAGGATTTAAATTAAAAAAAAGGGCAACGATACATTGAAAAAAATCTTTCTGACTGTTGCTGCAAAAAACAAACTCATATCAGGCCTACGACTGTTAAATAGGATAAACTATTTTGGAAAATATTTATGTGTGTAAAGTAGCTATATGTTATACTCTGTAACCTTTATTTCTCAAACCACAAGAGCTTTTCAAGTTGATGCACCAAAAACCTCAAACAGGAGAGCCATTTCTTTAGTCAAGAATAAGGAGGAACTTCAGTCACAGTCAGGTTCTGTAAGTGTGCGTGAGGGCTGGGTGATTAGGCTCCAAGAAGCAGATGAACGTTTTGTTGTCTGTCCAGTTTTAACAGGATGCAGCTCAATCCAGAAACGATGCGTTCGCAGCCTGCAGAGCACAAGCCTTTGCTCCGATTGAGGCCATTTAAATAAATCTAAATTTTGGCCTGCTCTACTCTGGCATCACATTTCTGAAATTGTCATGACAGGTGGAATGGGGAAACACCAAGTGGTTTCATCACTTTCCAGGGGAATAGAAGAGAAAAGGATTAAACAGAAAAAAATAGCAGTAGAAGAGCCACAAAAAGAAAAGATGAGCTTGGAGCCAGCTGAGACGGAAGATGAGGGGATGTGAAAACCATGCAGAGCCTCCGAAGTCCAGCCAAGGTCACTAGAGACAGGAGGACCAGCTGCGTATGTGTCTGCGCATATGTCTTGTTTGTGTGTGCGTACCGACCAACAGCTGGGAGACAGTGCTGGAGTGAGCATGACTGACAGGCCACTTCCTGTTTGACTTAACATTTCAATCCAACCCAACAAACACACATCCACAAACACAACAGCGTTAGCTCCTGCCCCGGTCTAGGATTTCTGTGAACCTGCACGACTATTTCCAATTTTGAAGTTAATTCCAGGGGAGCAAAAAACTGAAGGAAACAGCAATGAAATCCAGGATTTATTACTCATACTACAAACTGCCCTGTGCCAACAATTACACAACTGCTATGATTTCCCCCCTCCCTCCCAATCCTGATGACAAGGTTAATTTGAATTTACACTAGTAAAATTTGCAGGCCTTAGCATTATGAAATGTAGTCATAAAAAAAGAAAGGTGTTAGCCAAAATGACATCATCAGTGGCCAAAACAAATTGTGTGTGGGGGGTGATTGGAATCCATGCGAGGGTGTCTGTGTTTAAATACGTGTGCGTGTGAGATTGTGAGAGTGCATGTGAGGAGGTTTGCATGTGATTGAGTGCTTGAAGACGGTGTCAGATGGCAAACGAGCGTGAGAGAAAGAAAGCGCAAGAGAGACAAAGACTGAGACAGAGTGAGAGTAAATAAGTGAGAGCGATGGGGAGCATTTGTGTGTGAGGATGGTGGATGGTAATTGTGTAACTGTGTACATGAAGTTGAAGTGAGTTAGAAAAAGAAGAAAGCGGGGAAAACAGAGTTAAGTACAGAGATGTGGTGTGTATGTGTATGTGTTTGTGTGTGTGTATGTGCGTGTGTGTGTTTGTGGTGCTGGTTCCAGGCAGTTACCGAGGGGTCCCACCCAGGCTCAGTGTCCAGTGGGCCAGGGGAGTGCTGGAGGGAAGCCAGAGTCAAGCATTGGGCTGATCGAAAACAGATAGGGCTGAAGCCCACCACTATAAATCACCACGGTGGAGCAAGACCTTTACATAGCTCATGCATGCACACAACAAACAGACACACACACAAGTGTATGCACAGCAGGAAATGAAATGTGGCAATTTCAGTGAAAAGCGCTGCTGCAACACCCCTGGGAATAAAGGAGTGAAAAATCACTGCTCCTCTTACTTTTGTACTCCCTTCCTGTCTCTAACCTACCCCGTTGTTGCACCGCAGCATCCTACACATCTCCAGGGCAAAGGACGCTACACTCCACAAATACATGCAAGTACATGCGCTGCTTATGGGTGTGGAGGAAGAGTCCAAGTATGAGATGATGTAGAAAAGACTGACTTGTCTATTGAATTTTTCCTCATTTAACTTACATAATGGTGCGACCAACACCGGTCCATTCCACTACTGTTTGAATGGACAAAAATTCTACCGTAACCACCGGTATCCTCTGGTCCAGTATGTATGCACTTTAGTTTAGTTTTTAGTTTAGTTAAACACACTCTGTCCAACCTTTTTTTTAAGCATGTTGTAGGTATCAATCAATAGCACTGAGTTCTGTTATGTCCTTCTGCCTACAGTTTTGAACTAAATTACAGACAATAAGCTTATTCTTTTTTTTTATATAAATTGCACATTTTTCCAGTGTTGTGTGCATCACAAAACCAAAACATAATACATCTTTAGGAAATGTGCATATTGTGCAAGGTTTACGTTGGAGTTAATTTGTCAGCAGTCTTATTTACCACTGCATTTTTTGGAAATGAACTACTGCCAACTGTCAATCACCATCACAGTGTAAAACCATCAGCTGGATGTGAATTACACCGCACTCTCACTTGCACATCAGCAACCTACACAATACAAAGGTAGGGACTAGTATATATATAATCGGTTTGATAATAAAGGTCCTACATAGGCAACCTGGGTTTTATATACTCTTTCAAATATATATATTTTTATCCTTTGTTTTGAACAATGGATTAAAATAAGCTTGTCCTTGTTGTTATTGTACATGTTTTTCCACAGCGTCCTCTCCATGTACATACCAGCTGTCAGAATACAAAATATTTTAGTCCTTCTTATTAGAGGGTTAATTTTATATGCTGCAAATCTGTAACCTGATTCCATTAAACCTATTTAATAAACAGCCAAACAAGCAAACCAAAAATATCTTCTATTCAGCAATCACAGTCACACACACAGAAAACTGGGAGCAGCTGTATCTGTTAGAGTTGTAAATGGTGTTTATGCAATAAACATTATTCAAACATTGGTCTTCGTGTGAGTTTTTTTGTGGTTTGGCCAAATTTGAAGAGGTAATTAGCAGATAGTCGAGCTTAATGCTGAGTGAGAGATAAACTGTTAGTTGGTATGGCATTGGACCAACGACACACTTAGAGCCAGCGACAGGAACAATCACCACATAAGGAAGACAAAGTTTCCCATGGGGCTCTGATCTGGGGGAACCAAGCGAGACCTGGGATACTGGGCTACCATAGAAACCACAACCACTAAAATAGTTTATACACAAAACTGAGAAGATACATCTTTCTAGAAACTAGACAAATTTATGTGTAAAGTGCTACATAAATTGCGACCGTGTCTCCCAGGGCAAGAAATCAGAATTCTTAGTCTGCCCTGCTACTTTATTCTGCCTATTTGAATCTAAAAAGACTGTTTTTGTACTGTTCAACACTTTACAGACTGTTCATTTGTACCTTTAATTGTTTTCCTCAGCTGCTTTGTTGAGCTGCAACATCACGATCCATTCAGGGCAGATATTACAGAAATCATCTTGAGCAACACTGCGAATGAGACTTTTTTCCTTAGTTTTACCAGTGATAAATTAGAACTGGCCTCTGTAAAAAAAATAACACTGTGGCCAGACAGTG